AATTATATTTAATGATTCAGTCCGTACCGCGAAGAAAACACTACTCTTCACCATTACAAAGATCAACTGGTTAACGCCGTTTAAGGAAATAATCGCGGTTTATTCTGCAAATCATAGTTCGTCTGAATTATATTTAATGATTCAGTCCGTACCGCGAAGAAAACACCACACTTCACCATTACAAAGATGAACTGGTTAACGACGTTTAAGGAAATAATCGCTGTTCACAGTGAGAATAATACGAAACACATAAATACAAAACGCAGAGTTACTGATTGTGAAAGCAGGTGGTACATATAGTTACCACTAGGCTATCAATGGTTAAAGAAAGACTCCCATTGGGATCATGAGGTCCACAATGGAGTCGATTAATTTTTGTCACAAAATGTACCTCAGTGACCCGCATAAGCGGATGACTGAACATCATTCCATAAGCCTAGAATACTTCTCGCATTTGCCGTCTGCTTCGAAGAATTTCCGTATAAAGTCTTACAGGGTAAAGCAGACATTTTGTAAATACATTCGAACGTTTCCGGCGACAAGAAATAAGAATAAGCAGTTGAAGAGCCCTTGTAGTGCGGGAAATCTATTTACCAGGATGCACCACAATCACTTCCTTGTATTGAGAAACCACGGGTTCAATTCTCGTACCTTTATTGCGTCACGACCAAAAGAAATGTTTCACCTGTATACTCGATCGATTCCAGGGCCTTCTATATATTGGACCAGATGCTGGAATGACATAGCAGAACATGTGAGGGTGACGAGGCCATTGTTACGTTACAAAGCGAGTCTCGCATTGTAGTGTCAAGATGTCTCGCGGCGAGGAAGTTAGGTCATTCTAATGTTCTATGTTCCGATAAATACAGCGAGCAGAAATGCGCACAAATGCCCTCTTACATGTCACGGACGAATTTCTGCCTCAGAGAGACCAGTCCTTTGGATAATATACGCATTTTTAAACAACAGAAAGATTTTATTTTATAAATACAACTCATGATGCAAGAATAGATAAACAATAACAATTAGAAAGCAATTTATACGCAAATTTTAAACTGCGCAAAGAATATTACGCAAATAAAAGAAAAAACAGCTTCCGTTAACAATGGATTTTTTCTCAAATCCATTTTTATTTAGTGTTCTGTCTGACGACAGGTCCATATGAACAGGATCCTTCCATCCTTTTCTCGGACTGAGACCTGTTCATATACGTTCTTGGCAGATGATCCAGAAGTGGTTTGCCATTGCCTTCTTCTGTGTGTGAATGGAGTAATTGTTGGGATGCCTCGGAGGAAAAATCCGTGTTGCCTAGACCACGGCCTTGCCCAACACAAGTTATAAATTCGGGCACAGCCGGGAATCGAACCCGAGACCCCAGGATTACAAGGCCAGCCTTCTAACCGCTAGACCACCGTGGCTCCATTATAATTATAAGAATGTTTTGGACTGATTAAATTTTCATACCCTAGTACCAGATTACTACGCCTAGAAGCGTTTCTCCTCATTATTATCAACACTGGCATCAAATTTTACTCTTGCCTAATGTGAAACCGTTGGTATTCGTGTTCCTACTCAAAATTTCCAAGACATTTATATGTTCTCTGTTGATCCTTCACGTAAAAATTCCCTCTACTGGATATGCAACAGTCGCAACATAACTAATGAACAGATGTCGACATATTAAGCAAACAATTGGTCTTAACAAATTGTATTTTAAAGCAAAAACAATCATTGTTATTGGTGATGTACGCCTAGGATTATATAAGGGTCGGAACAGTGTAAATTTTCCAAAATCAGAGGAGAAAAACCTACAAAATAAGAATAATAATCGCGAAGTGTGAAAGTTTGTAACATCTGCATTTCACACAGAATTCTGCGTAGGCGAGTGGTTGTCATATTTCACGTTTTATGAACACTGCCCGCACCTGGGGACTCGCTATCAAGTGACTGTGCCGTTATACAGGACCAACAATGAAGTATTTTTAAAAATCCGACGGCTGGAAAGTTTCACGGGAAGTTGTAAGACTGCTATATCCCGACAAAGGCCAGTGGTTATCTACGTGAGGGCGCTGACGTTCTGCCATTAAATACAACGGTGGTTTCACTAGTTCCATTTCTCGCCACGTAACTATTCTATTTATGCTGGTAGATTTATCTTACGCCGAAAATTGCATCGTCAATCTGTCCAACAAACGACGAGACTGCCGAGGACAGCGACAAATATGCGAAAGTAATTTCTCTAGTCTCAGTAAGAAGGGCTTAAGTCAATGACTTAAGCTCTTTTTACAGAGTACCAAGGGTTAAACGAACGTGAAATCAATCTGTGTTGTTCCCTGAGACCGTCATTCGGGGTTAGAAGAATTTATCATTATCTTCGTCGTCATAATAAGGGCTTTAAAAATGTACGACAATTGAAATCACGAGTCAGTGGACTTACACGTTTTTTAAGAGTTCTCTAAAATGGATTAAGCGCCAATCCGTTCTTCGCCTCTAAGTCAATTCTGTTGTTAGTGAAGTGACACTTGTTTCAGGCATGTTTTGGAGCGGAAGTCGCTACGGGAGGAGCAGTGGGGGCGGCGGCGGGAGGCGGCAGGGAGGCAACAATCCCGTGGAAGTGGCCGTGAGGAACGACAGGTTCTTTATCGGTAGCCGGTACGGGAAACGAAGCGAAGAGCCTTTAACAACAACCGACGGTACGTACCGAATAAAAGAGCCTAATCTACTACGTCACTTTCTTGAGCTCATTTGACGATGCTCGCTCAACTGAAGGCGTTATGAAGTATCTAATGGCATTGGAGGATGAACACGTTAAAGGATTTTCTAATAATTGTCGTGGCCTATTAAAGAGTACCCTGGACTTTGCCTGAGCACCACTGAATTCAGACGTGTGTAAAAGTGGAGTTAAAGCTCCGTGCATTCTTAACCTCGGCACTAGATGGAGATAAATAATCATCTTCACGCTCCAGCCGTTTTACCCCCTAGAAAAACACCTCGGTAGAGGCAAGATAGTGCTGCCATCTGTAATTTGGAGGAAAATAACACAATGCCCAACTCGATAAGTCAGTCGGTAATAAGGTCAAATGACATTCTGTTTTATCTCCCCTCAATTATATTATTCAGTTTAAAACGCTGGCATTACGAAAGCTGTTAATCGATCTGCAGATTACAACTGGGTATCGACAGTGATAAATATCGATCTGGATCGCTAAATCTTTGACTTTGTCTATCGTCTATGTTTTTGAAAAGACTGACATAAGTTAGGTCTTTTTATCGGAACCAACTGTCCCTCCCCTCTTTTCAAAAAAAAACATGACGACAGACAAATTCCAAGAAAGTCCCGATTTCAACTCACCCCTTTAAAAAGGACAATTACTGATGTTTCAGAAACAGTCGGGGTGCTGGTACCAACAGAGGATACCAATAGCCAGGTGGCCTGCATGTATACTGGCGTGGCCAACTTGTACCGCTGTTACAAAAGGTAACAACTTTTTTTCGCACCTGGAGTCATGCAGACTTCAGGGTGAGAATGATACTACGTTTCTACAAGGCGGTGATGTGCTAAAACGCTCACGGCTTGGGACCGGTCTACATTTAAAAGATCGTGTAGACCAAAATAAGTAAATTGGTGTGAATCAGAATTAAATTTGACGGTAATTTGAACATCAAGACAAAATTTGCGCTGCGGAGTAACTACTTGACGTTTATGTCCTGCAGAGACCGCGTCCCGATCAAAATTTTATCCATGTTACTGTTATTTTTTTTAATATATATATATATATATTGTAGCTCTTACAATAATTGCGAAATTAACGCTTAAAAACACGGCAATAACTAAAGGAAAAGAGAGGATAAGACAAACTGAAGGCTTAAGAAAGCAGAATTTTTACCGAACAAATTCTTTCAAACACCCTGTAGCTACAATCTATCGTTCTGAGAAACAAATTAGTGTTTAGTCTCGGCATTTATGTAGGGGAGGAGAAACACGCACCGCCAACATGACCTCTTTTATTTCTCGCATTTTGAAGTTGCTTTATTTTCTTGCAGGAAAGGCAACTCTAGTGAGGACGCCAGTAGCGAGCACGAGTGAGGCGAGCCCTTTTATGAATCTCCCAGTCAACGTGTGTACATAGTGCACATTGTTTACCCTAGATTTTGGTCGGGAATCTAGGTCGAATAATGGCATTTCAACTTTCTGTTCATCCGATGTGTTTTTATTTCCGTTACTGTATGTATTTGTATTAATAATAAACATTAAACGAGCGTGTGGCATCAATTATAACGCAACAATTCCCTGAAGTCTGTTTGTACAGGGTGATTCATAAAATGTATTTGCGACAACTGTGGAAAAATATTCGCAGAATCTGTGACTGAGACGTCTCAGAACATTTTGGTGAAATATTCTTATCCTTACTTAATCGCCCTGTGTTATTTAACGCCAATGTCACAGGACTCGTAATAGACTAACAATGAAAATGTGTGCTCTGGCTTGACGCACGAATTCTGAGCCTTCTAGTCACATTATTGTTCAATGTTACATTGTAAGATGGTGATGTAAGTATAGATAATTAACATAGAAAGTACGCGAGCAAATTACGTCCATGGCATATTCAGAGTGCAGGAAATATGACGGCTGTCCCAGGCGCCTAGCATGGTGATACCGTGATTAGATTAGAGGTAGTCGTGGCTTTGCGTGCGTTCCTGGGATAGGCACTACTAACCGCAGTACATACAGAAATTACTAAAACCACAGGTTTAGACTTTATAAACGACGTTCCGCGTACAAACCAGCTGAAGGATTTTAATATGAAGCCCCTACAATCGTCGGTAAAGTCACGACTGTAATCTCATAACAAAATGGAGGCCAATTAAAATTTCGACAACGTCTGCCAAGATATTTACAACTATTTCCTATTACCACTAAGTCCTTACCTATCATATTTATGTTTCAATTACTAATCATATTAGGGGCAAATTTCACGATACATACAAAAAAATCTAAAGCTTCAACATGGTGAACCGCGTAATAAAAATTCTAAATGTAAATGTCTTCTTGAACTCATTCTAGAGCTAGCAAGTGGGTCCAGTTGAAATAAATCTCTTTTGTTTCACAACAGTAAACGTGTTCTCCTTTTTTGTTTAGAATAAACTCATTCGACAGTATGAAACATCGAGATATTAACTGATGCGAGGACTTGATAATGGAATTATCGATTATTTTCGATCACGCAATGCGGGTATGTTTCATTGTTGGAGTACAAATATGATCACTTCTTTAATATTCGAGTTTACGCAAACTACTGAAATCCATAAACAATAAAGACTTTTGACTGAAGTCTTCGTTTCCTTAACTGATTATATACCAAAGTTTCGGAGGAGCATTCTGCTTCCATCTTCAGTGTTTAGGTTGACTTCAACATGCCCTAACACTTCTATGGCATGCTTTTATAGACTGAGATCGGACAATAAATGTAGGTCCAATTCGGAAGAGAATTGGAAAACTACAAAAGACTTAAAAGTTCTACCGATGTCCTCGAGTCCGACTATGGAACGAAAAGATCGCCGAAGCTTCAGTTTGTCTTAAGTAAATGTCAATTTACTACATTCCGTAATTTTGTTGTCGAGACTTTACAGTTCCTTATAAACTTGGCAGATTAGTATAAATAATATTGTAGGCATAAACAAATGCTACGCCCACAGCGTAATCACAACATGATATATGCGTATATTATTAGTCATAGTGCTTAATCAAACAAAATGTCATCACTTACCACATCCTTCTTCGCCCCACACAGTACGGGACAACGTGAGCTACTTGCTAGATGTATCTTTTACCCATTACACAATATTCGAAGTTAAATAAGTCACGTATATTTCGTTATCCTATTAAACAATCGCAAATCTTTTAGTAAATAATAAACACAACTAGTACCTATGCCCTCCATTCTTTAACACACGGCAAATACGTATTAAGCAAGACGTAACTCTTCGAACTGCAACTTGCCAGAGGAAGCAAGCGCCCAAACGGAAATGTTACCTGGTCAATACCACCATTTAAATCAGGTTCGAATAAAATTCCCTTCATACAAACAGGTGCTGCTCTTTGCATAATATCCGCATGCAGTTGGTTTGTCACGTAATGGCATTTTTACTCTGGTCCACAAAACGTCATGGAAACGCAGCCACAATGACACGAATCAACATTTACCAATCATTTATTTTCTTGCAAACTGGTAGATTTATAACTGTTAACGCAATGGAACAAACGTGGAAAAGAAATTATGTTAATGACGAAAGGCTTTTCAAGACTTCATAACCCGAATTGCTAGAACGCATCGTGCCATCCTATTACATTGCCGTAAACACGTAGTAACGACAGATTCTAACCTCAATTAAAACCATATACACAAAAACTGCCATTATATCAATCGAGGAAATAACATGTACATACCACATATTGAGGTGTATTTGTATGGATACTGGCTTGTAATTTAATTGGTTTAGTTACCACACGAACAATCAGTTAAAAGTTTGTTCATTAGGTTAGTCCGAACTTTTCCAGTGCACTGGCAATACTTTCATAATGAATACTAGCTAACGTAATCATGATAATGCATTTTGTAGATAAATGAATCAATGATTTTGCCAACCGCTACCACCAAGCCGAAATGGGTTGCATAATCTGCAATACCACAATGAACCAACTATAAGTCTGTGACAATTGCACAATTATCAACGTCATTCAATTCCCTTTAAAATAACAGAAGGCTCACAAGATACCATATCATTCTAACACAAAAATTCATTCAATTACTGCATATACTTCAGAGTAGTGTGTCCATTTTTGGAAATCATGTAACAAATTTACTATCCCTGCCTTCATCTCCAAAATAATTGGGAAGACCTTGATGAAATTTGGTACTGCAGCTGGTGGTGCTAACAATTTTCACACATTTGTGGACAAATAATGAGTTGCTGCATAAAATGAGATTAACATTATAATTGATTTGTATGATGAATAATGTGTCTGCACCTGAAATAAACATCGATGCCATCACACAAAAAAATCACAAACAAAACATTTGCAAAATATATGTACATAGAACTTTTTTTGTTGGGTGTTTGTCATAATATTACTTAAATACTAGTTCGTTAAATATTCACAAAGTGAACACGTACATCACTGTCCATATCAGTTTGACAGTCCACTTGTCTGCATGATTCATCTTGAAGCAGATGGACAGATTTGGATTAAACTTGGTATAGACATAACACCGATGCCGCCAACCAAAAAATAATACCTTTTAATTTCCTACAACTGATAATGACAGACAAACTTGTGATTGACACTAGCGTCAATTACAACAGAACAATACAATGATGTAGGATTACACTTTGCATGTGAAATAACAACATGGTGGCTGAATGAAAGAGATAAAAATTGATGATTTATAAACATAATATTTGTGAAAAAAAACAGACTTACAATATTTAATAATATAGTTTAAGAAAAAACACTTCAGTATATTAAAACAATATTCATATAAAACATTTATTGTACCTGACATCATTTGGATGGAATTTATTTAAATATATATTTATAGTGGTAACATCACAGTGATTTCACTTGCAGCAAACATATTGATATAAACAAACATCTTATAAATTACTGTTAGGTTGACCACCTGTCAACACAAATTTCATGGTTTTAATCTACGCGTTTACTAAAACACACCGCGTCTCGATCTTAACAAATCATCTACAGTATAAGACTGTAATCCTGAGACTTGCGGGGTGAGGAAGTGGGGTGAAGGAGGAAAGATAGCGTCAGCCTTAGACGCTTCGGACTTCCTGCATTCCTCGCAAGTCTCAAGGTTACAGTCGCGTACTGTACTTCTCCTGTTTTTTTAAGATCAGTGTTGCCAAGTCTCAGCATAATATTATGACAGTTAAAAATAAATTTCAAATCTGGGGCAGGAGCCTTGAAATCAGGGGAACCTTAACTCAAAAGTCAAGGGGGATGTTGGGAGAGTGTTACATGGAGGTGGATCTGGTTCTGATTTCATTTTTGTACCACAGTACATGAAATACACAATTTGAAGCTCAACCCAGATGTCTACAAAGATCAACATTTTTCCGACAAAGTCAAGTCAACCTAACACAATAACGACAAGGATTATTACATAAGGGACTTAACAACTATATTCTGTTTTAATAAAAAATAAACATATTAAAATACCATCCATTTTGAAGTACAATAAAATCACGTGCAAGTTGTAACTGCAGTACACACCACACGTACAGCGTCACTTGCATATACAGAATAAATCCGTCAAAAATACATTCCATAATCATTTATATACCAGACAAATGATGGAACATCAGCCGATGTAATCATCAGTCTGCACTTAACTTTTCAAATCTATTTATTACTTGTTCCATCCATGCGTCATCACGGCGAGGGCTGTACTTGCACCCTCTGTACGACTTGAGTTTCTGCGTCAAGTAGATAAGGTTCCGCCAGTTTGCATCGTTCTCCAGGAGATGCGGGTTGCCCACGATTATCAGAAGCGAACAGGCTCTCGTGACTGCCACGTTGAATCTCTGTGCGCAAAGCATTAAACCTAACTGCAGGATGATTCCACAGTAGCGTATTACATACGTAGAAAATTTATTCCGCTCACTGTTCAGTTTACTTTATAAAATATAATCGCAGAATGGAGACAGGTGATATTCACTGCATATGGGACCAATGGATTGTGCCCGTAGTAGCGTATTAAACACGCAGAAAACTGAATGTCCAATCTCGTTTGATTATGAAAACTGTACAGTTTGAGAGCACTGAGAATAGATTTAAGAACTTAGTAGTTTCCCTCGCGTTGTAACCAATTTCTTGGTTTTGGTTAATTTCCCATCCTATATTCTCCAAATCAACAAGCAGAAAACTAAACTACAAATACTACAAATTTTATTATTATTCTTCCTGCTACTATTGCTATTTGGGGGGGGGGGGACATACCTTAGCATTCGCTACAAAGCCCAATCCAAATTTGCTGTCGTGGGCGAGTAAGTTCCGATTGCTTCGAACGGTGGAGATGAGGATCACGCGCTTTTCACGGCCTTGAAATATTTCTGTGGTGCCAACCTCGACGTTCTCCCAGCCTTTCTGCTTCAGCCTGTACTTCAGTTTGTACACCTGTCTGATATAAGGTGCTATGATTCCTATATCTTTCTGCTCTACTGGTTCACGTGATGGTCCACCTTCCAGGAGTTTGCCAACATAACAAACCACAGCATCCAGCTCATACTCGTTGAAGAAACTGAAACCAATAGTTCTTTCGCAAGTGAATATCTTGAAGCCGGTATCAGGTGAACAGTCACATACATCTCATTACACAATTTTTTCTATTTATTCAACACCCTCGGGTGCTAAATATTCTCCTCCGCAACTATTAGAAATTGCATACAATTCTGTATGTTATACTTTCATCATGATTTTTGTTATGGTCATCCGAGTTACGTTAATAATGTAAACTGCATTTAATAAACATTATATATCCAGCTGATGAAGACCCTACTTGCTGTGAAACATTGAAACATCCACCTATGATTTGAAAAATGCCAAAAAAATAAATAAATAAACAGCCAACGCAGTCGTCAGAAGGTAAAGGAACAATCTGATAACAACCATCTGACATTACTGTTTGTAGTTACGAGACTTTTCGCTTAGCCACTCCCACATTACAGATCAAACAGATGCCATTCATTCAAATTTGCCACCTTACATACACTAGAACCTCCCAATGATTCCATACGCAATGTGAGTGTAAAAAAGCAAACCACGCCTTGATCTTTAATGAATATATTAAGAATGCTGTAAAAGAAGTTAGACAGAAAAGAAGAAAGATAATGATGCTCCTCATACGTCGGAATATGTAGTGTAGCGTAACTTGTGAATAAATCAAAACACAAGATAAATATGTAAGCCCATCCAAGGCTGGGGCCACACGACCGTACAGAGCGCGTCCGTCGTAACGCACGTCATGACGTCCGTCATAGAATCATGAAGGGGCAAGATCACAGAACGCAACGGCATGTTCCGGCTCCAATGGGGCAACTGATGCATCACACTGCGATCGTGTGGTGTCCTCACCTACGCCCGTGGCAACGAACGTACTTTGTACGGTCGTGTGTCCAGGGTCTAAATATATACACTTTGAAAGATTACTTTTATAAAATAATTTTAAACAGTTATATAGCTTTGAAATACATTTCTATATCAAAGCTTTGAGTCCGAGCTCAGAAGCTCTGCAAAGCTCAGGCCTGAGGTTGGCTCAAACTCCTCTAAACAGAAATTAAAACAAGTTCCAATATGAAGAAAGCAGAAATAAAGGAAAAAGTGGGAACATCGCTGTTACCTGGGAGACCTGCCTTCTTTCTTCTCGTGACCCAACACTCCATGAAAAACGACAGCAAGGTTAAAACGTGGATCATTTTCCAAATTCTTGACCCTGTCATTGGTCACATCTACGCCACATGCCGGCTGCAACATGAAACAAAGTTCTCAAAATTGCTCGTCATTTTATTTACTATATAAGATCACGAGAAGAAATGTTCAAAGCAGCACACATTTTCCAAAAGTAGTTTTCACAATCTTTTATACTCCAATGACCTTGTTTGTGTCTCGTAGATGGCATTAAGAAGTAACATCACGGGACGTGAGGAGCTGGTGCTGTAGGACGACAGGCTTGTTCGTCATTTGTCGTACAGCCCACGCAATATGAAAAGTCTTAGGAAGAAGAAAAAGATTTACTTAAAACAGACTGTTAAGTGTGGTGCATATTTTATAGAAAAAGCAGAAACATCCTATACAGTATATTTACACCCTCAATTATATCTACAAATAAATACAATTTATCTCTAATAAATGACAACAAATCTCTCCCACAAAGAACGCATTTTAAATGTCAGTGTATTTCAAAATAGATTATATTTATACACTGTTGTTGTTGTTGTTTCTTGGCTCTACAACCCAGTTGTGGGTTTTTGCCACCTCCTTTTTGGAGGTTCCTTGGTCTTGAGTAGTGAATGACCAGGCCACTGACTGCACAATTTCTACTCAATGCTGATTTGACTGCCAGAGCCATCTAGCAGTTAATCAGGAGATTTGGGCGAGAAATGGTTGCTGAATTTTGCTGACGAAACATCTCGTATCATGCTCGATATTCATACATTACCTCCATTATGTATGACTGAAATTTTCATACTGAACCCCTTCTGGACATAAATCATTTCAAACATAAAAAAAAAAATGTTCCTGATAAATCTAACGGGACAGTCTCGGCGTGAAACAAATGAAATCTGAACTTTCATATACTCACTATCAATTCTCCATCATAAAACAAAGTGTTTGGTAACTCAAGGATGAGTTCGTGAGATCGGAAGTTACGGCGTAATTTGGTGATGAACCTGTTATTATAACTTCCCTCCTCAGTGTTTTTCATGTACAGCTCGCATTTCATCATCAAACGCTCCAGCAGCGATAATCCTGCACATCATGTGACCTGTGATTAGTGGCATCTCACAAAATAAAGCAACAGAAACAAGGATCAGATTATTGCAACTCAAACTCGCTGCCTCCTTTATCGGGGAGCCACGACGACAAGAGGCAAATATTTCCAAATTTTCGGGGGTTGGAAGCCTGTCCTGCTAAAATGATACCCTCGTCCTTCTCGTGTGGCTCTGGTGACCAAATGACGGCAGAATAATTGTTACAACACTGTTTGACGGATCGACCGCACATGGAGCTTGTTCGTATGCTCAGTAGTCAACTTGCGAAGAACAAAGTAGCGAGTGTTTTTACACAAATAATGTACAGTGTAAGACTGTAATCTTGAGACTTGCGGGGTGAGGGAGTAGGGTGAAGGAGGAAAGTTAATGTCAGCCTTTAACGCTTCGGAATTCCTGCATTCCTCGCAAGTCTCAAGATTACAGTCGCGTACTATACCTACACTGGCTATAACATCGATGGAAAAAAATGCCATGAACTGGAACACACAAATGGAGAAAAAAAGTAACTCACCGAGACCAAACCCCTCTGCTTTCTTGGAGTGGCACACCGGCCCCAGTTGCAACGGATCTCCAGCAAGAATTACCTGACCACCTGCTTGATCTCTGGAAGCTTTGCCAAGGATTCCTGCCAAAGGAACCAAGGCTCCAGGCTCCAATGCCTGACCACACTCGTCAATGAATACGTGCGTGAAGTCGGCACCGTTTACCTTATGCTGTAACCTACATCATAAGACATCGTCGAATGATTAGCACCTGTGAGATCCCAGCACACCTGACAGGTTTTAGACTACATTTAAAAGAAAAAGAACTTCACTAACTTCCTCATAATACAGATATACAATATCACAAAAAATGCATGTGGGCCCCCCAAAAAAAAGACATTTGCAGACCGCACGTGGCCTGTGAGCCACGTTGGGAATCGCCGACTCCAAGCAATAAAGATTTTTTTAGGAAATAAATATCAACAGATACTTATGGCTACAACGTGCTTACTTTTCTGAGTTGATCAAGGTGCACACTATAATCCGGTAACTCTGTATCTGCTTTTCGTCCGGAAAGGAGTACGTGCCTTCACTACGATTGCTGTATGGGTGAAGGTCTTCTGGAACAGCAGTCCTGTCAAACGACACATATATCACCCCATTCATTACCTAGCACAAGGTTTGAGACTCGGTTGTACGGAGAAACACGCGTCCTACTTCAGACTCCATCTCACGCTAAGTTGGTGCACCTTTTCAAAAATGACACTTTGGAAAATGAATCGCAGTAGGGGAAAATGCCAATACGTAATTTCAGCTGATAATACACGTGACAGTACAATCATTTCAGACCATAAGACACATTTTCTCTGAGGAAAATGCTGCTTAAGATTCAGATGATAGCGGTGGTCCGCGCTGCGACACCGCGTCGATTCCAACATTTCCGAGGACAGCAGTACCGACAAGAGGTTCACACGGCACCACAATCCAGAACGACAATACTGACATCTTCACAATGCAGTGAGAACTTTGAATCTTATAAAATTACTCAGTTTTGCATAAAGCAGCCTTTCCCCACTAACTGGAGATAATATGTTATGTAAATTTGTAAGTTTTAAATAATTCTGTGGGTACGACAGAACATTGGAAGATAAAATGGTTCCGTGGAAACAATGCTCTAAACCTGATATTCCTTGCCATAAACTGCATCCTATAGCCAAAATAATGCAGCGGAAATCCAGGCGTACACAACGCAAAGCAAACAGATGAAATAAAAATGTACATGAACAAACCAATTTCATGTAATTGTTCTCATTACCAATCTCGAGAGGATGAGTGCAGGCGAAGAAGTTCCTCCGTTGTGCAGTGAGCAATGAGCTTCTGGGCCAACAGATCACAGGCAGCATTCGAAGGAGCACAAACGAGAATGTAAGATTCTCTTATTTTCTTCTTAACCTGCGATAAATTAAAATAGATCGTTATTATCCACGTGATTAAGCAATTTATATCAGGCATCATTGAGAAATATGATGCACTATTTATCCTCCATTGATCGTTGCTGAAATCTTTATGGTTGTCAGCCAAACAGTGACTGACATCGTAAAATTTCAGTTCCTACAAGTTACTTACCGTCAACGAGACAGTAGTAGGATTTACAGACGGAATTACAAAATACGTAACAGACAATCGTGAAATAAATTATGAACTTAAAATGTGTTCACAGCGAACAAGTCTTTGGTATCAGAATATCTATTTTCCATGAACATTTAATAACTGGATATACACAGAAATTATTTAATTTCTCCCACATTTTTAACACACAGAACGCAATGCGCAGGCGCATTCGAAGTTCATCAAATGCGATGTTTAACTCGTACTTCAGCATACCTTTTCCTTATTAATTTACCTGCAAAATGGCTTCAACAACAGTCACGGTTTTCCCAGTACCTGGTGGACCAAAGATTATGTATGGCGCAGGACGGGATGTTCCAAGGAGAATGTTTTCCACTGCTTTCTGCTGTTCTGGATTTGTTTCAATCAACGGGTTGATGAACCTGAACACAGAGAGGACAACAAAATTCATAATCATAATCCCTGGAACAAAAACAACATCAAGTTCCTGAGTATTAAATCAAAGAAAGTTATACGTCTTTTAAAGCCACTCTTTTACCATATGATATATCAAGACCCCCATCCGAAGCCAAATATGTCTAGACAATAAAATTCTTGAAAGGGTGAATGAATTTAATTATTTGGGATATAATTTAGCCTTTAAAGACGAAAGGGATATTTCACAAAAAATTAATGAATACACGAAAACAATGGGTATTATCGATAATGTCTTCGAGCCCTCATGTTCAGAGACATACCCGCTTACGCCTCTACAACATTCTCGCGAGACCTGTCCTCTCATATGGAAGCGGAGCTTGGACTTTAAAAAAACAGGATATTAGCAGAATAACAGCTTGCGAAACGAGATTCGTGAGAAGAACTGCGGGATACACCAAACTTGAGGAACCTGCAATAAACTACATTTGGCAACATCAAGAAAATTGGACAAATCACGTGGACAGAATGACCAACAGTAGATTCCCAAAGGCAATTTTGAAATACCGCCCTGCTGGGAAAAGATCTCTCGGCCAACCTCAGAAGAGATGGACGGAAAATACAAGACCGTAACAGGCCTCGCGGCCTAATACAGGAAAGGATGATGATGATGACGATATATCAAGACCACGCACGGAATACTACTACAGCTGTTCCAAATTTAAAAAAATGAGATGGATTTAAGTCAAATTGAGTCTCAATAAAAACATTCAATTGATTCAAAAGTTATTAGTCTGGAAAGTCATAAATGTATGCAAATATTCACACATGCAGGCTTGCGAACGTAACACTTCATGGTCCTAATGGTTTATAACAAAAATATAATATAATCATGGGAGAATATTCCTTTTATCTTAAGGCCACATCTGTCTTTGATTTCTGACACAGAAATGTAGCCACTGTGCGAGACCCATTAGCAAACAGCGTAAAAGTAGTCTCCATAACGTTACATATTTTTATGCAGTAAAACTTTATTCAGATAAGGAACTTGTCCCATGATGATAAAGTTTCATTATGAAACAGTAAGACATAATAAACACGAAAACAAACGCGAGAGTTCAAAACCAGAACATACAAAATATAAAATCATGTAACATAATACTATGAAGCAGGTGGTAACATTTATATTGCCAACTATTAAGAAACATTATTTAAATAAATATAGAAACAATTAATATGATTTTAGGTTAAGCAAGAAGCATAAAAGGTGCAATATCATAAAAATCTGCATTGAGCGCTAAAAGTAATCGGCCAAATAAATCTCAGCAACAAAACAAACGAGAAACAATCCCTTACTCTATGTGCCCTTTTATACGGAGCACAGGAAAGTTGAGGTCCGTAGGGAACACCGCATGAAACATGCCCTTGTCCACCAGTTGGTCAATTGCTTGATGCATGACATAAAATGGGAAACGGTTCAAAGTGAATCTCACGCTGAATCGCAGGTCTGGATTGCTCTCCAGACTCTCCATTAACCTGTAGACAAAAATATTCTAATAAATAAACTGAACTGTTTCCCTTAACTACACCACAACCTTTTTCTTCTTCTTTTTCTATGGCTCTCCGGTCCGTATTCGGTTCATGGCCTCCTCAATTCTCCTCTTCCGTTCGGTCCTCTGTTAGGTCCGTCTGTCCGAGGCTTTGATCAAGGTTTTGAAACATCTTCCTTTTTACGGTGCAAGGTTGTTAGCCTTGCGACCAACCCCCAACCTGGAGGACCAGGGTACCTGTCTTAGTCTGGCCTCTCCCCCTCGACCAATCTGGCTAGGGAGGCCCTACCAGGAGCTCTTGGGGTCACTGAGGAACTCAAGCCCCACCACCACAACAAGGTGCAGGCACCATTAAGTGGGGCCACCACAACCACGTGACATTAAAAAAGAGCAAGCGTCATTGTCTTCAGTGTAGTTACGAAGTAATGAACGTTCAGGTTCTGTAAAAGTTGAGGAATTTCTAGACTAGATAAGTGACTGTAAGCTTAGTTAAAACTAAATTATATATCCATCATATGATATCGAAGATGACGTTTCTATTTACAACAGTATTATCAATAAAGTTAATTTTCTGACAGAAGCCAAGTTGAAGAATTATTTCAAAAGACAACGCACACGGATACAAACAATAATTTAATTTCCTACTCCACTTATGGCCGTAAAATCACATGGACACATACCATACTTCTACCTCCAGCTGATCAGCGTTATTACTACTCACTTTGAATCAAAGTCGCAAATCCTGATGTAAGTGTCCGTGACGTCAGCAACGAGACATTCATACTGAGTGCACGCCCATTCATCTCTCCCTACAAACTCTTTGATGTATATCAGGTCTCTCTTCAACACAGATGGCCGCCGCTCAGCAAGTCCTGGAACCTTACAAAAAAAAAATAACTTTTTGAACTTTGCGTCTCGACAGCACCTAGATCCCACGACCTGTAAATTATTCTTCCTCTTTTTAACAAATTTCACAATTTTATTAATTATATATGGAAAATGAAGACGTAACTGTAGAAACTTAAATGATCAGAAGATTAGACAAACTAGAACTCTGAAGTGAACTTATCTTCTGGATGAAAGTTCCTTACTCACTTCACTTAATAATGCTTTGTCAACTATACAGGCTACACTGTGTCAAATGGGACATGACATTATCATAAATTGTTAAGTTAGGAAGAATGAAAGAGTGGTTATGATGTTACACATAACAGACACACACATACAGAGGTGATGAAGCAAACAGGTTCATTTTTGCAATTTTATTGCAAATACATCCAAAGATCTAATACTGTTCAATACGTGCAGTGTGATCAACTCTGCAACAACATTATCTGTATCTGTAATAAAGAAATGTACACCTTTACACTCATTACAGTTTCTATCATGTCACAGTAACAAGAAAGCGTGCCAAATAAATAAATATAAAAACAGATATGATCTACAAAATGTCTGCCAATCCCCAACACGACAAAGTCAACCCACATCACACACATGATATTTCAACTTACCTCCAACTTCAGGCATTTGTCACTAACAATTTCAAGAGAAACATTTGACATGTTGTATCGCTCCAGACTGTACAAGGTCTCATATTCATCCAAGTAGAGGAGCGAGTGGAAATAATTTGCATAATTATCTTTACCCAGATTATCATCAAACAATGTCCTGGAAAAATCAGTCATATCTTTTTATTTTAACACAATCCACAAATTTTGTAATACTATTCCTTGATTTTAAGACGCTGTCAATTGTAAGGCACGCCCCTGATTTAGTATTTGATTTTCAGGGGGTGAAAATGTGTATATTACGATAGGAACTCTAAATATCCAAACACAAAACTTCTCTGTATTAATACTTTATGAATCATCCCATGACTAGAATCATGGACATGAATATCTTCCTTGCACTTCAGTCACACGATATAATCTTTTGACATCGATTCACAGATGCCATGAAATGTAAGACACACCCAAAACCAGAAATTCCAAAATGTGAAAGTCTTAAAATCAAGGCAATACAGTGTAAGATTTGAGGTTTTCACACAAGAACCGGGAATTAACTTACCAATAAATGGCATTACCAGATACAGCAGTCTAATGGTTATCAATACATTGTATTCATAAGATCCTGGTTCAATACTAGACTATATTTGTCTACAATATCCGATATGTTTTGTGGTTTTCCTCAGTCCTTTCAAGGAAATACTGGGATGCTACCCTAACGCAGGTCGTGACTGCTTCTTTCCGCTCCTTCCAGACACTTTTGACTACCGTCCACAGCCGACATCATATTTTACGCTGTATAAAATATGTAGTTGTGACAATAAGTGAACAACAGGAGGTGAGAATTCCACCTGCATTAAAATGTGCCGATATGAACACATGGAAGGAACTTGTCATTGACTCACAAAAGCGCAAGCAACTGCTTTGTCATATGCAGGTCTATGCCATCCCAAGGCAGAAGATTCTGTCCAAAAAGTATTTTCAGCTCGTCTGGGATGGAGTACTTCAGCAGTCGCGTGATCCGCTTCCTGTAACATGGTACCGCAAAGCTTTAAATTTTCATTACATTGTAGGATCTGTATTTTGCAACTCAGGGATTCTCACCTCACCTTTTCTTATCGCCTTGACGGTCACAGGATTATAAAAGAGCACAATTGTCACAATAAAGTTAACAGAAAACCTCAACTATGAACTTACCCATTACGCAAATTCCCAGGTATAGTAACATTCCCACCAAGCCACGGTTCACCAGTGAACGGACTCTCTTTGTGTGATTCTGCGTTACCAATCGAGTGACCCGACAAAGTCACATTCACAACCTGTAACCACACGTGCACTTCTAAATACTAACACATCACACACAACTAAAAGCATCATATCCTTAACTGACTGCATTTGACAAACCCATATTATCAAAATGGCAGCTTGACTTGCGAACTCCTGATGGAAGGATGTATATATAACTTAGCGTACCCAAAAAATGATGATAACTTTTGTGGATTAGCTCATAATAATTTGTTACACTCAGTTACTCATACGCATAATACAATTCCAAGTCAGAATACATACCATCGTTTTAATAATGTCAAACACTTTCATCGAGGAAGATGTTTCACGTTCAAACGTGAAACAAACAGGCACACCGTAAGTTCCAATGCCACAGTTTTGGAATGTCACTTTAACCATATAAGACGCACCTGCATAAAAGCATAATAAAATGTATTAATACTGGTTAGATTCATTCTTTTAACAGCAGAGGAGGATAAAGAAGAAAAACTAGAAAATATAAATAAATAAATACAACATTTATAAAAGTCAAGTTTAAAAATCAGCTGGGAAAGATGCAGTCACAACAAGTGGTGAACGAGATAGCGACAAGCGAGATACTAAATATAATAAAATTTGAATAAAGTGTTTATCTGGAAAGTAAAATTTCACCATTCCAAGAAGCAGCCCAAGAAATATCCTGCCTCTTGCGTAATATGGGAGTTTATTACTGTTTATAACACTGGGTCCACATCTGTGCATTCTGCCGTAACACCGGGAGTTTATTACTGTTTATAACGCTGGATCCACATCTGTGCATTCTGCCGTAACACACCAGCATAATGCAACAAATGTTTCCAAGGTTCAGGAGTGGATGAAATGGCTCGCATTCTGGTAAATGTCCGCATTTTCTCTGGTTGTGTAACGTAACATCCTTTGACATTAACCAAAACACCAATTGCAGCCATGGATCGGGTAAGCCACAAACTAAATAGGAGCAAATACTACGTCAACAACAACATCCACACCTGTGCATCTGTTGTAATGTTACAACAGAATGAGCACTGACCCAGCTAAGAGTCCGTCACTGGACTCTATCCTCAGTCATATGAACCCAATCCACAACCTATTTAAGAAAAATTTTAATAATATTCACTGTCTATGCCTACAACCTCTCGCTTAGCTTTAAATATTCTCTTCCGCATTTCATTGTCAAACACCCTCAATGCGAGGTGCACAATGTTCAAGTATCTACAAGCCATCTTTATAGATATTTGACTTTACCTTGCATTCTGGTAATGAGATATGAACACATACTTAGTTTTTTCTGCACTTATTTCTACACTAATCTTCATATTATCATATAATAGTTTTTCATTATTTGTAAGACCAGTAAAATTGCATTGAAGTTAGAGGGAATTCAAAGATTGATTAAATTCCACCATGCTCACAGAGATGTAATTTGTAACTGGAAATTGTGGGGGAAAAATAGAGTAGAGAAGGCGCAGACACACATAAAAGAAACATTTAAAGCAGGACAAAGAATGAGAAGGCTTCATCCAAAGATGAATTAAACTGATGAAAACAAATAGATGATGTGTTATTATAGACTGGACACATAACACCTATGAAAGGACAGAGAACAGAAAAGGTCCTGTAATAAGGCATACTGTAATTGAAGCGTCAATCGAAGACTCGTATGCTCGAAAAAGTTTTGGGGTTTATTGCTGTACCTTTATGTAATCGAATCTTAACTTCAGCACCAGTGGAGATGTCAAGGTCATCTTCGGCTCTGAATGCCTTGTAGGGGTGCAGTAGCATCACTCGTATTAACGTAATGTACCGATTTTTCATGACTCCAGTGTACATAACCTCAAATTCATAATCGAGCTTCGATGTTTCTGTATCTATCTGCAATCAGAGGTACTAATGGCAGAACGCACGGACATTACACTTCCTCACCATTATTTGGTGTCCATGGGATGAGGGAAGGCAATACAGAAATTCCTTGCCATTATTTGGTGTCCATGGGATATGAGGGAAGGCAATACAGAAATTCCTTGGTTACTGCGATACATGCGTCCCTGTATCCCCGAATATGAAATTAATGGAAGGAAAATAAGTCAGTGCAGACAGTGCGAACAGCAAGTGGTTGCTACATATTCAGTATTGTCAGTCACTTCTCCGCACAACACCGATAAGTTGTTCGAAAACCACGCCACATGTTATACATGGTAATTCACAAGAATGCAACCCAAGTTTATAATAAAGTCACCTGTACTGTATTATAATGAATATTCAGATGAATAAGATGTGAAATTTGAAAACTCAATGTCTAGTACAAGACAGAAATGTGAAGATTAAATATACGTTTCTTCTATACATCGAAGTTACATGTCCATTCTCACGTAACCTCCTTGACGACAGTAAAACTGTCAGGTGTGCCATATAAATAATTATCTGAATAAGTCTACAAAGCACAGTCCCTTTTGAGAAGCTGACAGTCACTCAGCCAGTCAAGAAATTCTGTCTTTCATAGAAACTGAAGGTTCGTTATAGGATTCACAACAGGAAATCACCATTCCTTAACCTGAACCACATTACGGCAATCCACAACCTACCACCCTATTTCTTTCAGATCTATTTTAATATCATCATCCCAACTACAAATACGTCTTCAAGTGGGCTCTTAAAGGACTACTTATAAGTACTTAAGTGTACTGAAAAGAAGGATAAATAATACATTACAGCGATACCTGAGAAGCGAAGTGTCTGATAATTGATTGAGACACGAGCATAACTCATTAGTATCGTAAACATAAATAACAACTGATGACATAAAGTTCTAAATTTTCCCAAATTTTCAACTTTTATACCCCCCCCCTCCAAAAAAAAGTGCCCAAGCTTACAATGCTCTTCACAGTGCCATCTGCAGATGACGGTACTTTATTTCCTCTACTAAACACATCAACCTTCACGCCATGCCGATCCTTAGCCTTTGTTTTTCTGAAATAAACACAAGAATGTCATCATCAGACTTGGGGGGGGGGGGAGTATTTGTTCATTTATAACAAAACAGAAAAAAAAATTAATACAAAATTTAAAAAACTTCTTCACACTGAATGTTCCTAAAGCAATTACAATCTCACATAGTAATGCGCATGGTAACAGTTTCTTCTCACAGCCTTCAATCTGTTCGACCAATACGCAGGCAAAACCAGAAAAACCATGTTACACCTCTTAAAAACTGGTACATCAGCGTGTTCATACAAAACAGACACCAAAAGATTTTTTTTTTGACAAACATCTACAACAAGATTTGATTAAATATGACACTGTGCCTTAGATCGGTGTTGCCGACAAACATGAAAATTCCAGCATCACATTTTTAAATTCCTAATCCATTTCTATTATGATAACATACAATAGCTGATAATGAATTCCTAGCGCCAGCATTCAAGCTGTGTACTGGTTAACACCTCTGCTTCATATTTTCCAGGTCATGGGTTCAAATTTTATCGCAGATATTAGAAAGTGGGTATGGACTTCAGCTTCCCTCCCTAGGGCCACGACTACCTAATCTTGCATCTATTCTTCACATTAATTATAATTTGTTCATCTGTTTATATGACATAAACCATGAAAACAAAGCAATTCATCAATTACTTACTATCACAAAATGTAATAATCTTCCTTCTGACGCTATTTAGTTCACATACATGATAGCACTTTTTGGTAAATCTAGTAAATTGCCCACCTATAATAAATGGAAAATCTAAAGTAGTAAACACCCAAGGTCATAAATATTAACCCACAAAACCCACAGCATAAGAAAATGGGGATAGATACTCAAATAATATTTGACAATGAATTTTACGGCGAACACACCTCCTCTCCTTGAATAAGGCAAGTAGATAATTGTACTTATGACGACGTTCCTCCAAGTGGATGGTTTGAAATGCAACGCTATCCTCAGCCTCAATTCCACATAAATGACAGAATGTTGGACCCACTGCTCCACGACTTTTGTTCTTCTTTTGCTGCAATTTCTTGCCTCTTGCTTTGGTCATATTACTAGGAACCTAAAAATAAAATTATTTAGCAATTATTTCTTCTACCACTATTACTCTCTCTCTCTCTCTCCATGTTGTTGTATTTTAAAAAGTAATATACAAACCACTGCAGGTACCATCTTTCTTTGTGCAGATTATGACGATGTAAGGCAAGGTTAGGTTTGGTTCATGGTAGAATCTGTAACAAACCATAAATCATTTACATGAGTTTCTATGCCACAATGTATTTAAATCTGACAGAAATCTGTTCTACATAGGAACAGAAAATGTAATTGTAACTTTACATTCCCACAGAAAAACTAACTCAAGAGGATCAGATCAGGGAAGCTGAGTGTAACAAAAAAATTGTAAAAATGTCATGGGATGATAACATTTGGAATACATGGGTATAAATTGATTGGATATGTTCTAACATTAGACTTTTGTATTGTTCGTGATAAAAATCCATGTTTTATAAGAACAAAATTCCTTTTAATTATGCACAACTACGCGTGATTTACTGCAAGGGCACTAGCATCATTATAAATAACCCAACCTTAGCATCATGTAAAAAATGTATGTTACAGAACTTCATGGTGAATAAGGAAGAAAAGATATGTCAACAGAACAGAAAAAACTCATTAATTGAACATAACCTTTCTTTGTGGAATTACAGAGGGTGGAGGCAGACCATAATTTATACTTCTGCGAGGTACAGTGACTTATATTTAACACAAAGCTGGTGTAACTTTACAATGTCGATGACAATGGGTCAGATTTTGGCTAGTAATAAAATATAAATTCACTTATGTTAGGGAATTTGAAAATAGGGTCCTATTTCTAAAACGATTACGGGCCGAAATGGTAAACATACTGTAATAAAAGTTATTCCTATTAGCCAAGTACTGTTAATCTTACCTTCATCGTCTATTACGCGAGATAATACATACAAAATATAAAAACATTTACATAATCATAACGAGCATCCACTAACAAAGAATCGACATTCCTAAAGTATAGTATCATTTGCAACCTCTCACTTTCACTGAAAATGCAAACCCCTTTCTTTCAGTTATCACATTCATCAAACTACACATTGCGCTTATAGAATTGCGGGAATTCCCTGATCATCAAGAAACTTATCAAAGTACCAACTAGACCACTGAAAGTTCGAGGCAAAGAGTATTAGTTGTAATTATCGAAGTGCATCTTGATTCTTTTAACATACAACAACAATAATTCCAAATAATCATGAAATAAAATTAAAGTATATTACCTGCACCCAATGCAAGTAGAAGAAATAACACATTCAACACAGCCAACGACAGTCACTACCACCATATCTTGTAACAATCTCATAGGTACACTGATCACATAGGCAGAACTCTGTACTCCATTTCCATAGCGTTGTCATATGACAGGGATTGATAAGTACAAGTCCTTTGTTCTCCGATATCAATCAAAGTAGATATGTGGGAATTAAAGGGGCACATATCGCAGAAAAGCGAACTTTAGTCATGATTTGAATTTTTTGTATTATTTATCAAACCAAAGGTGAAAAGTAATAAAAACATTTTTGACTCCAACTATCATGTTTTGCCCATTATTTTATTTGTCCTAACTCAATTCTGACCTATTTGACATTTATTGGGCACATGCAAATAAGTAAGACTTTATTATTTGTTAGGTTATGTATTTTGTTGGGGACAAGGAAGTTGAAGATTTCTGTCTTCTGGGTCATGACAGAGGCAGTATGAACTCTGAAACATTGGTTAACATCGACCAGACTACACAGCGCAACAACCCAGAAGACAGAAATCTTCATACTCACCTTTAAAAAGTAATATACAAACCACTGCAGGTACCATCTTTCTTTGTGCAGATTATGACGATGTAAGGCAAGGTTAGGTTTGGTTCATGGTAGAATCTGTAACAAACCATAAATCATTTACATGAGTTTCTATGCCACAATGTATTTAAATCTGACAGAAATCTGTTCTACATAGGAACAGAAAATGTAATTGTAACTTTACATTCCCACAGAAAAACTAACTCAAGAGGATCAGATCAGGGAAGCTGAGTGTAACAAAAAAATTGTAAAAATGTCATGGGATGATAACATTTGGAATACATGGGTATAAATTGATTGGATATGTTCTAACATTAGACTTTTGTATTGTTCGTGATAAAAATCCATGTTTTATAAGAACAAAATTCCTTTTAATTATGCACAACTACGCGTGATTTACTGCAAGGGCACTAGCATCATTATAAATAACCCAACCTTAGCATCATGTAAAAAATGTATGTTACAGAACTTCATGGTGAATAAGGAAGAAAAGATATGTCAACAGAACAGAAAAAACTCATTAATTGAACATAACCTTTCTTTGTGGAATTACAGAGGGTGGAGGCAGACCATAATTTATACTTCTGCGAGGTACAGTGACTTATATTTAACACAAAGCTGGTGTAACTTTACAATGTCGATGACAATGGGTCAGATTTTGGCTAGTAATAAAATATAAATTCACTTATGTTAGGGAATTTGAAAATAGGGTCCTATTTCTAAAACGATTACGGGCCGAAATGGTAAACATACTGTAATAAAAGTTATTCCTATTAGCCAAGTACTGTTAATCTTACCTTCATCGTCTATTACGCGAGATAATACATACAAAATATAAAAACATTTACATAATCATAACGAGCATCCACTAACAAAGAATCGACATTCCTAAAGTATAGTATCATTTGCAACCTCTCACTTTCACTGAAAATGCAAACCCCTTTCTTTCAGTTATCACATTCATCAAACTACACATTGCGCTTATAGAATTGCGGGAATTCCCTGATCATCAAGAAACTTATCAAAGTACCAACTAGACCACTGAAAGTTCGAGGCAAAGAGTATTAGTTGTAATTATCGAAGTGCATCTTGATTCTTTTAACATACAACAACAATAATTCCAAATAATCATGAAATAAAATTAAAGTATATTACCTGCACCCAATGCAAGTAGAAGAAATAACACATTCAACACAGCCAACGACAGTCACTACCACCATATCTTGTAACAATCTCATAGGTACACTGATCACATAGGCAGAACTCTGTACTCCATTTCCATAGCGTTGTCATATGACAGGGATTGATAAGTACAAGTCCTTTGTTCTCCGATATCAATCAAAGTAGATATGTGGGAATTAAAGGGGCACATATCGCAGAAAAGCGAACTTTAGTCATGATTTGAATTTTTTGTATTATTTATCAAACCAAAGGTGAAAAGTAATAAAAACATTTTTGACTCCAACTATCATGTTTTGCCCATTATTTTATTTGTCCTAACTCAATTCTGACCTATTTGACATTTATTGGGCACATGCAAATAAGTAAGACTTTATTATTTGTTAGGTTATGTATTTTGTTGGGGACAAGGAAGTTGAAGATTTCTGTCTTCTGGGTCATGACAGAGGCAGTATGAACTCTGAAACATTGGTTAACATCGACCAGACTACACAGCGCAACAACCCAGAAGACAGAAATCTTCATACTCACCACTGTGAAAACCTCAAATCTGACAAGGAAGTTGTTTGTGTAGGAGCTGTTAATGAAATCTATGGTGATGACTTTTGGTGAAATGGGGAAAAAATAAACTTTCTGGACCCTAGAAACAGGTTTACAGGAGAACTGAACTGACATAGTAATTCCAAACTTCCTTTTTCAGTTTCCTTGCTTGGTCAATTTGTGATAATCACCTGGTGTATATACCATATTTATTTTGTGTAGAACTTTTTTAATAAGTCTAGAGTCCCTGTCAGGAGAAGTACTGAAACACTTTGTTGAATCTTGCATTAGCAACTAATATTGCAAGGAAACTTAACAACCGTGTGGGTTCTATTTTGGGTAAGACAGCTGCTGGACAGTTTTAGACACATGGTTAGTGATGGGATCCGATACATATTTCATTAGGTCCTTTATAGATGAAATGTGAATTTTTTTTGGTTATTCCAAACAGGAAGGGTAAAATATAAAACCTCCTGCATAGGCACTTGTAGCAAAAATCTGTGACCTCAAACAATCTGTAAAACATAAACTGTAACAAGATAGATATGAATAGAATATGCTGTCATATAGGTTCATGGGCCTACACATGTAGAATGGTATTCCATATGATTGTATTTATTTATTCAGTCTGTCATATAAGTTCCAGATTGTGGGGAAAGACTCCTTGATGTTTTTCCTCCACCTTCTGTATTACATCTCTTCTTACATATTTCCTAACTTACACTACATATCTAAATAAAATCCTTAATCTAACCTCTTCACGTACAGTTTCCATAAACTAACACAAATGACAATAAGAACTACTTACAAACAGAAAATAAATTTGATGGCTGAAATTCTCTGTTTTTATAGTTTTCTTATTTCAGTATTAAAATCATCAAAACTGGTGAAACCACTAAACACATTTCATAAAAGATTATTCTATGAAAAAATATATATAGTATATAAAAAAAATCTGTGTGCACCTATCTTATTGTTGAAATTCTTTTATTCTATTCAGTATCTATTGAAATAGGCTATATCAAAAATCAGTGCCTTTTTATTCCTAGAAGATGTACCAGTTCAAAAATATGCCACTAGATGGTGAGGAAAACATATATTATCTAAATAAAATCATTAAAACAATGGCAGGTGTTACAAGAATATTTTGCAGAGAACTATTCAAGGTGGATCTGGGGTTCTCACAGCAATGAGTCTGACGATGGCTGTCTTCTGGGTTATATACTGCCATGTAGTCTGATAGAACTATTTAAGAAATTTAATATATTCCCCCCTCTAGAGTGAATTCCTACCCTCATTAGTGTCTTTTGATGTGGACAACACACAAATGAAAACATCACATTTTAGATTTGTCATATTTAAATTTTTAGGTTGGTACTGGGACTTTCTCACCACTCTCTAAATTTCCACATCGTTTCAAAGATCGCACGATACATGGTTTGCTGTGTAAGAAGAGAGTTATTTTCCTTGTCGACTGTTGTACTAATTAGCTGCAAAGGTGCAATAAAAATAACCTGCAAAGCCTTTCACTGCAGAACAGCCTGTTCATATATAGAAAAGGCCGCAACTGGATATGATGAAGCAGTTTTTTCAGGTTGCTTTATTTTTTGAGAAGTCAAATTTCCACATCTTTGCACTGTCCAGATCTCACACTGCTAGATGCTATCCTGTGGGAATTTATAGAAAAAAACTTTTGTTAGGATCCTATGGGGGGGGGGGGGGGGGGGGGTGGGAAAACAAAACACATGTAGTAAACAGCATTTCATACAAAAATCTTGCACACCAAATTTAAGTTTGTCTTCTAGGTAATTGCACTCCCTTCGAGCATGTATGATTCCAACAGTGAATGCAGTAATAAGTATTTACTTCTGCTTTATACTTAATACTGGCTCATAATGCATTTGCCATTCTTGCGGTGTTTTATGGGAGTTTATTTTTTACAACACCAATTCAATATCCAAATTATTTTCCTTCAAGTACGTCTCCAAACCACACAAGTTTAGCAGTTCAGAACTCTCCAGATTCTCTTTCACTTTATATATAATTTTCTTTAAATTATAACAGTTCTGTACTATATACATCAGCGATTCTACTTTCACACATCTATCAAAATTGACAACTTCCATCTGCTTCCACCTGCCAGCAGTTATGGCATTAACTATCACTTCCTTTTGCAGGACATGAGCCTGCGACAACTTCAAAGTCTTTAATTTTGTGTACACAGACAATAAAATGTCATAACTCATCAGATAATATCCCCTTACAGCCAAGTGCTCTAGATTCTTATAATGAAGCAACGACAGGTCATCAATGTGAAGGGTATAACTGTGAACTGATAGATGCAGTGTTTTGAGTCGTGTACAATAAGTGATGCATTCCATGGTGACACCTGACACTTCTTTCAATTTTAACAATGTCAGCTGCTCTCCTCTCGACATTAAAAATGTTTCGATGCAGGAAAAGCGACAGTTGCTAACTGCCAGTTCTCGAAGATTTGTCAATGCTTTCAAGCAGATTAGATCACAGTCAACACCATGAAGGGTTAGATGCGAGAGATGACACAAACTCGCCAAATCATGCGAGTTTTTAAAGTGTGTTGTTGTCAAGGATTTTAATACCAGCGGAAGCTGACTAACACCTTCTAGAACGTCTTCTTGGTCAGATGAAAAATCCTCAAGTTTGAGAAGTGTGTCTAACAACTGAGAACAATACTCTTTGGTGATGGATGTGCCCCAGATGTTGAGAGTCTTTAAGTTCTGGAACTTCTTGACTGACTCTACACTCTGGGCTGTTACCTTCTTAGAAAACATTACACTCAAGTGTTCCAACTGCCTACAATGACAGGCTGCAACTTCGAGTACGCTGTCAGTGCAATGCTTAACATAATTGAATACAACCAGGTTCCTTAAAAATCCCATGTTACTTACAATTACATTTCTGACTGCAAGTTTAATGCTCTTAGTAGGTATTGCATGTATTTTCAGAACCTTCAATTCAGTCAACCTGTGCAGCTGTTTGCACAGAATAAGACAAAGACTGTCTGGGCAGCGTTGCAGCACCAGCTTAGCCATGCATGGGTGAATCACTGCCAGCACAAGCATATCAAAAAGAATCGTATCACAATCATGGGCAATCATTGCATCATAGAAACACAGATATTTGTTTTCCTTTGCCACCTGTGATAGTGTATCCAGTAAATGAGATGAAACTTTACGGCCAGCACAAGCATATCAAAAAGAATCATATCACAATCATGGGCAATCATCGCATCATAGTAACACAGATATTTGTGTTCCTTTGCCACCTGTGATAGGGTATCCAGTAAATGAGATGAAACTTTACTGGCTAAGATCCGAGGCAGGCCAGGCTGTATGAACTGCTGAAGTTCATCCCAGTTACAGTTGTGTGCTTGTGAAGAGACTAAATTCCAATAAAATTTTGCGACGCCATAACGCCTATTAGTTAATGTTGTAATACACTGTTGACTCATCTGATATACAAAGTCTGCAATAGACCTCAAGGCCAATTGCGTCAAGGACTCAGGCTGTCTGCGGCGCAGCATCTTGAATCTGGTCACTTCAGTCTGAAACTGAGAACAAAAAATAACAGCTGTGACAAATGAGATGACCCATCTCTTCAAACGGAATGAACTCCACACCAAAGACCACTTGCAAAACTCAGCTTCCAAAATCAAATCACCAAACAGCAAAATCATGATGCATATTCTAAAATAACCGTAAGACTTGCTAAGTTTAGCACGGGTATTTTGCAACAGATTATACTAACCCTTTGAATGCTATTAATGACATATTTTGAAGATTTCTGTCTTCTGGGTTGTTGCGCTGTGTTGTGTGGTGGGTTTGCCGACGTTTCAGAGGTACTTTTCTGCTTCAATCATCAGGGCGATGGAAAACTTATCGTCCTGTTGATAAAAGCGGTGAGTAACTCTGAAACGTCGGGAAAATTCCACCAGACAATACGGTGCAACAAACCTAGAAGACAGGAAAATCGTTTTGTATCACAGATGTAAACAATTTAAAGTAAAAGTTCTCAAATGCTGATATTAGATCTTCATTAACTTCTGTTCTCTTCCTAGACAAGTTACTGAAATGTCTCCGGCCTGACTGGAGAAAATTTATAATTGTTTTGGGGGCATATTCCCTGCATATCATATTTATTTATTCATCCTAGTTAAGCGATGACGAGTACAGATTATGGAGTTCCTTATCATGCAGTTTTCCCAGCCTCTTTACGTTCTCTCTTAGAAAAAAATATTATCGTCACCACCCTATTCCTCAAAGACCCTCAATCTGTGATCTTCATTCCACATAAAAGACCGATTTTCATACCCATACAAAACTATAATCCTGTTCATTTATATTTAACATGAATTGATAGCTACGAATTTTTCGGACAAATGAACAATTCCTGGTGGAAGATTACGGTCAGACATAGCATGAAGGAGATAAGAAATGCGTACAAAATTTTAGTTTCAGAGACCTGGAAAGGCGAGGCCAGTCGGAAGACTTAGTCATCAGGAAATAGAGTTGAGTGTGACTAGAGGATTCATCTTCACGAGGATAGTTACCACTGGCTGGCTCTTGTGAACACGGCGATGAACATTTGGGTTATATAAAAGGCGGGGAATTTATTGACTAGCACAGGGGTACTCAACCTTTTTCGCTGGCGTACCACTAAAATTCTAATTTAACACATTAAATGTACCACTGACCAAATGCGTTCAGGGAAAACTTATTTATATTAATGTTATCTTTTTATTTTCTTACTTAGTTCGCGTACCATAGGTTGAGGGAACGCAGGACTTAGCTGATCGTAGCTTTTAGACAAGGGTTCTACCCCATTTAGTTCGTCAGTTAGTCACCAGTTTGTATATTCTTTAAATTTTATGAATTATTGGAATTGAATCACTATTATGAGTGACAAACAATGTTATATTTTGCCCTAATCATTAACGACGTTGTCTTGAGTGCACTGGGTACGTAATGACCGACAGTTGCCTCGCTTTTCAAATAGGACAACTACTTTTGCAAGCAATAATTCTTCCTTCTATTTAAAACCACTTTACGAAGAAATATATTGCAGCTAACAGTCTACATCCTTGAAAACATAAATTACAAAACGCTGCTGTTTGATGCCTTGAAACAAACATTTTATACAAACAAAAACAATAATAAATGCAGACTGGGCACACGTCCATGCAATTCAACATGGTGGAATGTGTTTCAGTCAATAACAAAAACCATGTGACTTTATAGTGTAACCTGTTCTTAACACACGTTCTCTTATGTAATAAATATGTGAAGGAAAAATAATGATTCTGGATGCAATTCAGGTATCATTTGAAAATACTTGCGTTGGTCTAATTTACTGGCTTGTTTAATGGTGCTGTGTAAGCTTTCGGGTCTTTAGCGTCAAACAACAAATAAAATTACAATGAACGATGAATTGACAATAATGAAATAGAACACAACTGTCACTTCCTGGCTACCAGCTGCAACTGCATAACTCACCACCAAGCACTACAAGGTTTTCCGAATGAGTTACATACTGATCCATAAAAGTAATAAAATTAAATTGCCTTTTTAAGCAGTTCCTGCCAGAATCCAGGAGATGACAGACACATTTAATTTTATCAGCATTATAAAGAATTTGCCTGGAGGTCGAAGGAGATCCATAACAAAGCCTGAATCATAAAAGGGCAAGATTTTAGTCATGCACCCACAGAATATAAATGAACAATAACTACCAACCATCAATAAATTTCCCTAAACATTCTAAAGGTTCATTACTGTGCTAACAAAAACCACACACACACCAACAACTCAAAAAAGTTCTTTATCACAAAAACAACAACCAATGTTTCTGCAACGAACATGACTGTTGTTATGGACATCTACCATTTTTATTTTTCTCAAATATGTTTCAGAAACTGGATCTATTTCTATCTTCAAGTATAAAATGGTGGCAAACGAGAGTCTTGATCTTATAATATCATACAATATTTGTTCAGTAACTTACTTTAGCAAGTGCATTCTAACAATTCATTTTTTTAAGAATATTTGAGAAACTGAGTTCTACATCAGCTCTGGGAACAAGGAGTAGAAAACAACAGAGTAATTAGGTTATCGTATTGTCTAATATATTTTAATTTATCAAGTGCTTAATGGGAACATACAAAACATTGGTTGTAAAATAGCATAGAAAGTAGTCACTTTAGATATGTAGGGTAAAAGATACTTAAATTGATCTTAAGAGAAACAAACAAGGTACGTGTGAACCGATTCATCCAGATGAATGTCTTCTAGGATACTGTGTCATGACTTCTCATAAAAATTGACTGCTTAATGTCTCCATTATCAGAGCGATGAGGAAGGCTGTATAAACCTCTCAAATGACAGTCAATTTATAAAAGACTGCACATCGCAACATCCCAGAAGACAGTAATCTCCATACTTGCCACTGTGAGAACCTGAAACATCACTTGGTTTTATCGTGCTCAGGACAGCGTCCAAAGCTGAGATTTTTTAAACACAGTAATGAACCTCGGATTTTTCAGCTTCATCAGATGAGTAATCTTAAAGGTTTAAACAAATTTCCTTTAATTAATGGGATGAACCTTAGGGCTTCCTCAGACTTTCAAGTAAAATGGAGATTCAGACTTCCTGAAGTGGTTAAAAAGTATTATTTTACATTCCGATTTTAATGTAAGTTCAAAATTTAAACTTCTGGCCACAGTCTGGGGCCCAACCAAACTTTCAAAGATGGAGTTACATTCCATAGTAAATCTGAAGTTGACTATTTTAACATTCATTCAGTCTTAGTAACAGTAACCAGAAACGACTCGAATCATCACAAATGATCGATCTCCAGTCCTATATACACTACATCAACAATTTTGTATCGCACTAACGATTAGTAACAGAACCAGGTCCCAGAAGACTTTACACAGATACTGGGACCGTTACCTACATAATACCTTGAACTGCATCATCATCACCAGTAAGCTCAAAACACTGACTGCTATTCATTACATCTAATTAATGTAATAAGTATTCCCATTCACTATTTTATTATCTATAATTTCTGACTGGAAAAAAGCATGATCCTTGAAAGCCTTCATTTCAGCTGTATCGAGCTGTCTGTTTGCAGTATCAATGTCATTCTTGATTGTAGTAATGAGATCATCTGTGAAAGCAAATACATTTCAATATCGATGACTGAAAATAAGTGGCTATGCAGAGCAGCAGAAAAGCCAAGTAAACCGAGACAAAACTACACACTATGAAAACTCATGGGTAGAAAGAAATGTACTTAAAACTTCCCATATAGAAATTATTTACTCTAAAATCACTTTTGGCTTCATTTGTCTGTGTACCAAGCCTGAGAGCAATCCATTTTCAAAACATAAGATAAAGTAGCCTAGTAACATAATGGCCTACATGCAAGTCCACAAACCAGAAGACAAACATCAACTTCTTCACCACCTTGAGAACCTAAAACCTCATACAAATGTTGTGGTTTACGTGGGTCACCGTGTATTTTTAGGATAGTAAAACCAAGAATGTTATGACAGGTTTGACATGTATAGTGGATTTTAAGGCCTAGGAATTGCAATCAGAATTTTGGTGGGGAAACTTCTTGGAAAACAATAACATGGAGGAATGAAGATAACAATAAGATAGCTCTTATAAAACAGGTTGTGAAGATGGGATGGAAATGGATCATGATCAGGTATGATGTTTAACTTTTGTATTAGCGGCACTGAACTCTGAGATTCTAATCCAGAAGTGTGTGTGTCATTTGATTTTGTTTACGGTGGACATACAGATGAATAGAAATTACAAATTGTGGGAATATGCTTTCTCATAAACACTTCTGAAACACTTACCCAACGTCCAGAAGTCCATCTCTGGTCGTACGTAACCAATAATACAGATTCTTAGCTGTGAACCATAGAAATCTGTCCCAAATGCATGAAGTATATGAGTTTCCTGTGACAAAACGCAGTACAAGAAATTAAATGACAATGTAATTGTTACACTTTAATTCAACATCCCAACAAATGAATGTAAAATACATACCATGGATTTCTTACTGTTTTTAAAGTATGGATTCCATCCAATGCTCATTACCATCTTGTGTACTGGGCCATTATCTACTGTGGCCCAGCCATAATACACTCCAGTACCAATATCTTCTGGCAGATCATTCACTACTTCATCTGGGAAATTTGCTGTAATGTATTAATAATTCTCAATCCATAAGACACAACAAATTCTCATTATATAAGGGCTCAGGCAAATATCCTTCTTGGAAACAGAATTATGCATTCAGTATTCACATAGGAGTTACAATGTCAGTGTTGTAACGCAGAAGAGGCAACATGTTCGTCCAAAATGCCAGTATCTAAATATGAGTCCACATGGTGTTACAACCTAATGACCAATATTAACATCTTCGCAGCCATGAAAACCTCAAATAACATACAGGAGTAATTTTCTGTGGAATAAAATTCAAGGTTCTCATTGAGATGAGTATGAACGTGATTGTATTATGGGGTATTGCACCACGCGGCCTGTAACGTTAGATGCAGTAAGCTCCTCTGAAATGTTGGTCAACATCCCATGAGTTTACTGAAAATGATTACAATTCATGTGCTTATCATCTTACAAAACCTTAATTGAATTAAACTTCTCCAAGAGAATTGACACCATGTAGTCTTCAGAGAACCTCAAATCTTAGAATCAAGAAAAGTAATTACCAAAATACATGGATATCACAATAATAAGAACAAATTTTCCACTGTTCTTCAGTTTCCATGACTTACCATGATAAGTCATGTGACACTCTGCAGTGTGTAGGTGTTACCAATGTTTTAGAGCAACCACCAACAAAAAATATTACAATACTAGAAGAAACCAAATCTCATAGTCGAGTAAACACTGTTCCTTCATATTTTGTAGGTCCCAGGTTCAAATCCTGGCTTGAAGACCAGCTACCCAGACTGAGATTTCTAATGGTTTTCCTTAGTCCCTTTAAGCAAATACCAGAACAGCACCTAAAATTAGGGTATGACAACTTCCTTCCACATCTTTTCCAGTTCATTATTCACCATCATCCTCTCACTCAATGCTATATAGTTTGAGATATTGAAAGCATCATTAAATGAACATTCAATAAGTAAATACCAGAAGAAAGCTTGCTAATGAAGTAGCTTATATGAGAATGATAAACTGTATTAACATTGTAGAATTAAAGAATATAGGAGAATACTTGTAGAAGGTTATAGGTAAATGAAAGAACAAAATTAGCAAGCTATATCTGGGAATAGGAAAGAGCGGGACAGGTTTCTAGTTATAAGAATGTCTGCTTCGCAAGTTTACAAACATAATTAATAACACAGTGACAAAGGGGCTTTCTGTGTAAAAATCACGATTATAAATCAAACTGGTTGTGAATCCAGTGAGGAGAATACTACACAAATATAATGAAGTGTGCTATGCGGGTTATAATATTGTTGGCAACATTCCACCTTCCAAGATAACATGCGGCGGTAATCATGACAAAATATAAAATACTGGAAATTAAACAGTTGACATTAAGCACAAAATATGCTTCTCGTCCTCCAGTCTTCGCTTACAAGGCTGCAAAAATCGTCCAGCCGTAACAAATTCACCGTTACGATGGCAACTGCGATGTGCGATAAATTTGAACATTCGACGTGGCTCATTCCCGAAAACTGAAGTTGCACACAAAGCATATAAAACACACAGGATTCAAATTCGTACAGATCTAAACAACATTAACCAAAGAATGGCTACCACAGCTTCGTTTTTCAGTTCGATCTGATGAACAGCTCAGAAAATTATTTCTGTTTCTTGCACCATACAAGCCAGCTGGCTGAACCCAATACTAACCTAATTTCTACGCACCTGTTGGGATTCCTAGATCCTTTGAACCTCTTCCGAAACCTTTTACAACTTTTCCTACTGTAAAATAAGGTAGTCCTTTCATTGCCATACTTCTTGTTAACATTTATAAGTAATACTACTATTACCCTTTCTACAATAACATGTAACGACTGACCACACAGTCCGACATCAATACGAAGGACACCACAGATGAGCCACGGATTATGCTACCGGACCTTAGCGAGGAATCAGCATGAACACATTCCTCGGAATTTCTATTGCGGTGCCTTCAGCCGTCCATCATTTCGAAATCAAAATACTATTCCTGGTTGCTACAATACTTACATAACCTGTGTTACGAGTGTAGTTAAATGTACTTCCAGCTCGTGCGCATACACTGTAAAGGAAAGCTTCAAAAACCACATACACCGATGTCTTCGCATGCCATCTATTAGTCTTTATGTTTTTTTTACACGATGTGCACAAATGCCACAGGTTATCCTAGATCCTACCTTTTCATCTCCTGCAATTCGGAGATGTGAACGACACCATAGCCACTTAATATATGCCTATAGTCCTGCAACGATGCACCGTAAGTACGTTGTGAGGTTCTCATGGCGGTTGAATACGAAGATGGCTGTCATAATGGTTGTAGTGTGGGAGAAATTTCGCACCATTTCAGAGGTCCCTGCTACCTCCCTCATCGGATTAGGGAGGTAGCAAGGATCTACGAAACGTTAGTAAATTTTACCAGACTACATGGCCCTACAAACCAGAAGACAGCCATCATCCATGCACCATAAATCAATGGCCTACAGTCATGGATCTGCAAAGGAAGACTTGTTTCATTTTATGGTTATGAAAAGACGCTGGATTAAGACTTTATCAAAAGGTAATGGGAGCTCTTTCTTCAGGGATAAAGTAGCTGAATGTGAAACTTAGATCTATGTAGTGCAAAGGATAAGAATGTGTCGAGTTTTACCTCCACTCCCTCATATATGTTCACAGTGTGATGCTTAGTACAGTGACAGCTTTTATTTTGAATCAACTACACAAAATAGTATGCCAAGGCACAATTCAAAAATATTAAACAGAATTAAAAAATAAAATACTTGTTTGCAATAGTTAGACAAAACTTATTTAATTTTTGTTTTGTTTATTAAATGAAAATATTAATACAGATGACAGAATTATAGAAATGCACCAGACATACACAAATATACATCACCAATAAAGTAGTTCTTCTAGTCTGCACCAGGCAGTACAGCAGCTAGGAATGTTAAAAAAAAAACAGTCACCAAGAATCCTCAAATGTCTTAGCACAACTCGATACTTTCTCCTTACCACCTGACCGTGCTTTCTTCCTTCCCTTAGTCGTCTTAACTTGTACTTTCCTCTTCCGTTTCTTTCCCCTTTTCCCGGCTCGAGTTTGTCTGGCACGTTGTTTGATGCTGGTTGCAATACGGAACTGATGAAGATAATCTATCTCAGAATCATGCTGTGCACTTATAGGAACGAAGCAACGTATTGGGGACAAGGGAGCCTCTAGCTCATCTGGAATCAGTGGACATGTTATAATATTTACTCACATCTAAACCTAAAACTTATGACACAATATTAATGCCCTGATACAGTATCTTCCCTGAGTAGACTGTAGGTATTTAACTGTTCAAAACATGCTCCTAAATATTCATCTTCATCATGACAAAAGAATCATTCATCAGCTGGTTCAATCCAGCTCACATCCAAACACCCACTTCTCTAAAATCCATGTATCTTTATTCACAGCTTAATGTCTACGTCAGGGGTAGGAAAATTACATGTTTTAGCTATTAATAATATGGCACTTTATTTTTATATTCTCACACAAAATGTAGCGTAAGTGCTGCAACTGAAAGAATATATCTTCTTTATTACGCCGTCTCCTTTACAGGAGGTTGGCGACATATTATGAACAGGATCCTTCCATCCTTTTCTCGGACTGGGACCTGTTCATATACGTTCTTGGCAGATGATCCAGAAGTGGTTTGCCATTGCCTTCTTCTGTGTGTAAATGGAGTAATTGTTGGGATGCCACAGAGTTCTAACTGCTAGACCACCGTGGCGGAAAAGAATATATATATATACATATATAAAAGTAAGATTCTGAAACAAACGCGACTTCCATACTCTTTAATATACATATTAGACATACTGGTGGAGCTATTCTTGCTGATGAAATACATTGACGAGGATGGGGAAAAACGTAAGACCGGAAAGATGCAGACACACACAATTCAGTAGCGCTTTCCATACGCATAATACAATTTATTACATTTCTAGAAAATTAATGGTTGGTTTGAGGAAATCCACAAAAACATTAAATAGCCGGTACGTAAGGTGAAATTCAAACTTGATATCTCACAAATATAAGTCGCACATGTCACTGCTTGCAAGATCCAGCCTGCCGTGTATTACAATAGTGTACTGTGTTAAAATGCTAAACCCCTAAACCTTGTAGTTAAAGTCTGGCCACCAGCCGCTTATTTTGTGGGGTTTAAATCCTGTAAATCCAAATAATGAAGGCCAATTTACAATGGATTATTACTGGTGATCACTGGCTCTAATAATGAGAGAGGAACAGAATATTCGGAGGCACAGCCTCTGTTGTAACAAACTGTTATACCTTACAATGAACTGGAAGGTCAGGCTGAGGTATGTTTGGACACTGCAGTACCTTGACGTGTCTGGGGTCGCTGTTGTCCCCTCTTATATGTGGAGCTGTGGTGACCTTGAAATCCCTTTCCATTTTCATAGTCTCTCCAACATTGTTCAGATATGCTACCCCTGTAAACAGATGGTTACTCGCTGCAGTACAATACATTCTGAAAGAAACCTTTCATTTATACTCCGTGTTAAGAGAGAAGAGCTAGCTCACAGAAGGTTATTGAACATATTTATAAAGCAGCAGTGTTGTACGGTAAAGCACCCTTAAAGTTAAATTTCATCCATGGAAATATAGTAGCAGAAATAATTTAATACTCACCACCAGATATTCTATACAATTTTTAATAACAGCTGGCAATTTCCGTGCGTGTTAACAAGATTCAGATTTACGATGCGGATTGTAATGACCATGTTATTATTACTGCACTACGAGTACTTACCGTGTGCTCTGCAAGCCCATTTCAGGGCTGCTGCTGGATCCGGATATATGCAACTCATCTGGCGGAATCTCTTCTTCACAGTACTCATTGCATTCAGATGCATGTGCCTGCCACATTAAAGACAAAATATAACATTTCTAACGACTGCTCATAACAGACACTCCCTAGGATTACGGAAATGAAGATACATCTCCAAGCAGTGGAGACATGGTATATGATGAAATTATTATTAGCCATCTTCACGCAATAAATCAGTCAAAATTAGAGTGTGTATCGGTACACGAACTTCAAGCGCGAATTATAACACTGAAATGCTAATATAAAACTAATTATGATACCCAAAACAAGGCAATGGTTATAGCTAATGCACATAAAAATGTAACATGGTGTTACCTCAATATCTTTGGCTGGAAATGTATTCCTACAAATGGGGCATGGAAGAAGCTCTGATTCTTCCTCCTTATCATCACTGCTCTTTGTCTTATACATCACTGTGATGTCAGCCATTGGGGGATCTTCTCTCTGAAATAATGCAAAAATTTACCTCTCTGGTTTCAAAAATACAACAAATAATGATTACCGAGTCAATGTAGCTTTTCTACGACCAAAGTTTTAAAAGGTTAACATTTAGGGTCTAAGGGTATTAAATTGCATAAAGCACTGTTAAATAAACCGAGAGACAAACAACAAACCAGTGCCAAAGTCACTACATGCCTCTTTCTCCTCAGCTTCTGCACGTTTCTCCATTTCTACTTGGCTCTGATGGAAGAGGCGACGGCGACCTTGTTTCCGCAGCTTAATAGGACCTGGTCTAATAGTTTCAGTTTCCTGGCGTGAACCTCGGTCACCTCCAACACCTTCGGCATTGTCAAGGTCATCAAATATGTTGACATCATCATCCATGTCTCTATCTGTAAACAGAAATCCCTATGTTGTATAATGCATATGGAGGATGCTGACACATTTCTGATTTTTGCTGCAGCAAATGTTTGTTCTAACTTTTGGGTAAGAAGATTCTTAAGATATACTACTATATAGACAGCTGTGACGTCAACCAGGGCTCCAATTCCTCTCTCACAGCAGTCTCTTGCTCTCCTCTGACCACGACTGCTCTTCATCAATAGGCATTTGAAACACAGTGATCTGATCCTGAACGTTCCCGAGTGTTATCGAAGGAACCCGGGTCATCCAGAATGGTGCTGAACCCTACCACCTCTACCTCATCCAGACCATACAGCCCCCTATCTTATGGATACCAGGGGCTCTTGCCCAGACAGTAAAGCAGCTAGGAGGTGAAGCTGACCACTCACCTCCATCTAGCACCAAGGATAAGAAAGCATGGAGCTATACCTCCACCACCCCACACATCTTCATAGCTTGGTGCTTAATTAAGCACCAGGGACAATTGTACCTTTTACTTTACAACTGTAAAACAGGAATGATATTAACACATTTAGACCCACAGTCAGAAACCTCAGATGTAACTTTTCCTCTGGTAAATGCACGTGGTTATAAATTTATGAAATAGAGCAGGGTCCAGTACTTGCTCCTGTGGTTCAAGTTGCAGTTGGTAGTTGTCTCTCACAGTACAGTATTGACGGAAAACAGTTCACCAACACATAAATGAGACTCATATAAATATCAGTACTTCACAGTAGTTTTTGGCCGGCTAGGAGCGAGTCACTTGTGCGATAGTATGATGCTGACTACACCGAGGAGCTTATCAGACTGAACGCCCAAACAAAAGAAATACACTGACCATGCCACTTCAGGTACACAGAGTAGGCCCGTCCGCTAGCTTCTCCACCGGCCAGAAACCATTGCGCCGACTATAATACATTTTCGAAAATTTGTTTCTTTGTCAAAACAATCCTGCTGCAGTTATGAATTCCCAGTTGGGTCTGAATGTGCGAAGAATTATTCAAGGGAACTGTCTGATGATGTGAACTCGATACAGCCGTGTCAGGAAAGCACGTCTTTGTTGATGGCTTGTTCTATATTGGATTTTGGAAGTATACTGTCCACACAAGAAAAAAAGGTATTAATATTATACACAAAGACATCTCACCTTTGTTTAATGAGTGACTCTGCTTTGATGAAGTCTTTCTCAAGTTTTTCTTCTTCACGTACGACTTGACACCATCACGTCGTCGCATGAATTTCTCTGAAGGTTCAAAGTCTCCTTCTAAATCCTCATAATTATGTGCAGGCTCAGCATAAGACATAACTGCATGCAAAACTAAACGTTACTGTAATCACAGACCTATACATAGGGCTCTGATGTCATGTAGTAGGGTAAATGTTTCTGGGAACATGCATCAGGGTAAAAATGGACAGAATAGATGATAAAGAGTTCAATGCATAAATTCAACTTTCAGGTGAAAGCCCTATCGAATGTTTGGTGTTAACCAAACATTTGGAAAACATTGATCCTCAGCAACACCAACAATTACTCCACTTTCATCATCTCACAAAAAGGGGGTCACAGCAGGAGCGTTAAATGTCGCGGTCCCGATCGAATCCATATACTGATGGGTCGTGAATCTTGCTAGCCACCAATGCACACCATGCTGAATGGTGTGTACTGTATATGAGGGGGGGGGGACTCACATGCCTAACAAAGAATGCCTGTAACATATCTCCTCCCCTGCCCCTTGTCTTCAGGAAAATTTAAGAGTGTCACTCAGAAAACTTTGCCCTACACTTTTTGTCAGCAAAAAATAATAGAAAGTGGCTGAAATTTGGTATACAGATATTTACATACCTTCTTTACAGACAATGTTTTAATAGAAAGTCAGAATTAGCAGGCACCAAATATCAACCATTTTCTGTACTTTTTGCTGAGAAAATCATGTGGTGAAAATTTTTTTTAATGACCCTCACAGTCCAAAGCTTGATGTAGGAGGATGAAATGTATGAGAGTGGTACAGCCAAAATTATTCTGAAAATCACACCAAGATTAATAATTCTAAAACGAAACTTATCTGGAAGTTACATTTGGAAATGACAGATCATGGGGCACAGAGTTAAAAACACTCACCTTGACAAAGCTTCTTTCTCTTTACTGCGATAGGAGGGGACTCATCCTTCTTCACCATAAGCCAAGAGCTTGACGCCACTCGCTTCTCCTGCGGCTCATCGCTCTTCTCTTCTTGATCGAACGTTTGGTCATCGCTCGATTCTGACTTGCGCTTCATCGAGCCCTGCCTGTCCACTGAAGTGAAGCTAATGGATCAACCAACGCATCAGACACACACATACTTTCGACTTATGAACTAAATCAAACCCCTTTACTTGCAAATGTAAATTCAAAGCTGTGTCTTCTGAGTTACAGCACCATGCCCTGATGATGGAGGTAACAAGGACCTCTGAAATGTCTGTAAACTTTTACCAGACTAAACGGCACAAGAACCCAGAAGACAGCCATCTGCAGACTCACTGCCGTGAAAACCTCAAATCCTACTAAGATAGTTAAATCCACTGCTAAATAGCTGGCACCATACACTGCTGTATTTGTATGTTTTATATTGACATTTTCTCGCCAATATGTTGCGTCAAACAATAGTCCCAAAAGACTGAGATCGAGAATAACGTCAAAGATATCCATGATTTCCATTTGGTGCAACTCGATAAAGAAGACGTGTATGCAGTTCAAGGTCATCATAAACTTTGTAGGGGTAAGTCATTAAAGCCTATTTCTATGAATCCCAAGAAGTGCTGTCTCTCAAATGTCATTTTGGTTGTCTTAAGTTCCTTAAGTCCCCACTTAATGGTACCTGCACCTTGTCGTGGTGGTGGGGCTTGAGTACCTCAGTGACCCCAAGAGCTACTGGTAGGGCATCCCTAGCCAGATTGGTCGAGGGGGAGAGATCAGACTAAGACGGGTACCCTGGTCCTCCAGGTTGGGGGTTGGTCGCAAGGCTAACAACCTTGCACCGTAAAAAGGAAGATGTTTTGAAACCTCAATCAGAGCCTCGGACAGATGGACCTAACAGAGGACCGAATGGAAGAGGAGAATTGAGGAGACCATGGACCAAATATGGACCGGAAAGCCATAGAAGAAGAAGAAGTTCCTTAAGTTGGTAACAAAATGCGAAGTTTTGTTTCTGTTGTTCTGAATAAACAGAATGAAATCCCAAATTAACGTTTTTCACTTTAAAGTTTCCCCTCATTTAAAATCCAAGTTCTACAGTCTTAACCATATTAATCAAGGTCACCATTTTCTTGTAGTTACTGTTTCAATCCACGAAACACGACAACACCAACTTACTTTAGATTTGAGTTGTCTGCATCTTTGCATAACGGTCCCTTGTCATCTTCTTTCTTGTGTCCCTCAAGCAAGGAATCAAACAAGTCATCTGCAGCATCCAGTTGGCTTTCAGCAGTTACTGTTCTTTTGCTGGGGTTGGTGATAAACATTTCATCGTCGCTCTGCGCCTCAAGATCCTCATATATAGTGTCCGCCCTTTGGCAGGCTAACTTGCGGTTCCGAAAGTTGTACCTGCATGCCGCACAGAATGCAACTATCAATCCAAATATGGTTTTTACTTTATAGTACTGTTTCAACCGAGTACTTTATAAATGTAAGAGTTATACTGGCTCAAAACAGACAAAATGTGAATTGCCGATAACTTTTACTTCACAGATCAACGCCAAATTTCACTGAAATCCAATGTCGAGCATTGGCAAAGCTATTCGTCGTGTTCACTTACTGTGCTCTATGGAAAGACAACATAAAACATTTAAACTGCAATCAGCCAAAAGTGGAGGGTCCTTAACGACGATCATACGTTTCATGTTAACAACGTTTAATTAAAAGTATAACTACCATCATATACACATGTAATCATGACAACTCATAATAAAGACAATACATACAGAAATTAAAGCTAAATTTAAAAAGTACTCAGAAATTTAGAAATAACTTCTTCTAATTCCGGTTTAACAATGTTTATACATTTTCCGGTACCCTTTTACGGGTCCCAACTTTCTGTTGGCTTGATCTATGGACATTCAGTAGGACTCCTTGGACAAGGGATCGGCCCGTCGCCAGGCCTCTACCTGTACACAGGACAGCACAACACAGGAAAACACGAACACAAACAAACATCCATGGCTTGAGAGGGATTCGAACCCACGGTCCCAGCGACCAAGCGGCACAAGGCTCACGCCTCAGACCGCGCGGCCACTGCGGACCAGAAATAACTTAACTCATAAAATTATACCGACATGGAATTCCGCATCAAATGATAACCCGAGAAATTGTCAGTACCTACCTTTGAAGATTAGTTACACTCTTACTCTCCTGTTCTCCCTGCTCTGCATTCACTGGCAATGTAGAATCAGATTCTCCGACAATGACCGGTTCTCCCCACGGTACGCATCTGTGACT